TTCATAGAGAAGAATATTCGTAAGTGGTCTAGAGATTGTTCTTGTAAAAATTTTGCAAAGAATGTGGCTGCTTTCTGTCCTTGTCCAAAAAATCTGCCTGAGGCTAAATTGAAGAGTTTTGAACTAATGGCGTTGGCAGAGGAGATTTCTAATCCAATACTAGGTAGTCTAATATTGACTGTGTCACATGGTTATTAGTGGTCTCTCTTATGCAGATCTACAATGAAAAGGAACAAACTAAGAAAGGAAAAATATGAAATGTACAGTTTGAGGAGAAAAGGAACACCAGGAAGTGTAATGGAGGTAAGTCCTGTGCTCAAGAAGATAAAAAGATAGCCAGGCGGTGGTGGCGTATGCCTTTAATCCCAGCACTCGGGAGGCAGAGGCAGGCGGATCTCTGTGAGTTCGAGGCCAGCCTGGTCTACAGCGAGAGATCCAGGAAAGACGCAAAGCTACACAGAGAAACCCTGTCTCGAAAAACCAAAAAAAAAAAAAAAAAGAAGAAGAAGAAGAAGAAGAAGAAGAAGAAGAAGAAGATAAAAAGATTAAAGAAAAGCTTGATGCTAAATGCAATAAAGGGAGTGGTGACCTCAGGGCAAGACCCCACCTAGCTAAGCTTTCAACTCGTGAAAAGTAAAGAAAAGCTTAAGCACGGAAAAAAAAAGCCACTGAAAACAGAAAGATGATGCACATGTAGTTGAACAAGAGGGGCAAGCTCCATCCCCAGCAAGCAGCAGAACTTGGCAGCTTCAGCTTTAGAGTCAAGGATAGAAGAAAGGGGTTATGGAATCTCCCTCTATGATTAAGGAAAGCCACTGAGGCCAAGTGTGTGTGGGGGATGTCCCTGCCCTGCATGGAGCTCCAGAAAGGCCATTGTGTGAAGCTGTGAAGGTGAAGCCTGGATTGCCTTGAAGACCCCAAGATGTTGGAGATGCCAGAGCCATGGGATACCTGCTGAAGAGAGCCACTAACAGGGAGTGGAGCCAGCTCAAGAGAAAGAACTGTGTTGCAGTCAACAAAGCTGAAAGGAGATCTGAAGAGCACTTGACATTAGACATGGAGATGCACAGTTTGGAGTTTGCCCTGCTGGATTTCAGTCTTGTTTTAGTCCAGTATTTCCTCACTATGCTCTCTTTCCCCCATTTTGGAATGGGAACATATATTCTATGCCATTGTATGTTGGAAGTATGTGATCTGCTTTTTGGTTTTGATTTTATAAGGGGTTACAGTTAAGAGATTGCTTTGAGTCTCAGAAGAGACTTTGGACTTTTAAATCATGTTGAGACTGTGCTAGACTCTTGATTCTTGAAATTGGACTGAGTGCATTTTTTGCATTATGGTATGGCTACAATCCTATGGGGGCAGGGAGTGGAATGTGGTGGTTTGAATAAGAATAGTCCCCATAGGCTCATGCATACCTGGTGCCCATATAGTTCAGAAGAAGGCAGTGGATGCCTGGAACTGGATGGGTATAATCCACCATGTCCATGTTGGGAACCAAACTTGGGTTTTCTGCAAGAACAACAGGTATTTTAAACCACTGAGCCATCTCTCTAGCCCCTCATGCGTGTATGTGTGTGTGTGTGTGTGTGTGTGTGTGTGTGTGTGTGTGTGTGTGTGTGCGCGCGCGCGCGTGTTTAGATTAGAGGCCAACTTTTGGGAATTGGTTCTCTCTTACTGCATGTGTTCCAGGGATTGAACTAGGGTCTTCAGGCTTGACAGCAAGTACCTTTACCTGCTTGAGCCATCTTGCCAGTCTCTCTTTAATAAAAGGCGGGGGGGGGGGGCATTATTTATGTGTATGTTTGTGCATTTATGCAAATATATGCTACATATGTGTGGCTGGCCTCAGGGACTAGAAGAGGGTGTCAGATACCCTAGAGCAGGAGTGACAGGTGGGTTGTGAGCTACCCAGTTATGGTGTCTGGGAAGAAAACTTGAGTCCTCTGGAAGATCGTTAATTGCTTCTGAGCCGTCTTTCCAGCCCCATCCTTCTCTGCATTTCTAATGAATCTGTGTAAAATCCCGTTAGATTCAGTATGTTTCTCCCTACTCCACAGGCACTCTGACACTTAGAACAGACTGGGTTGACGAGCCTGGGAGGAGGTCAGTAACACTTAACAAGGAAATCTGCCAACTGCCTCTGTTCCTGCCAGAGGCCCCAGGGAGACAGGCGCCCCCTACCGGCCTGACGCAGCCCCCAAACACTGGCAGGCGGCTGTGGTTGCTAAGCGACCAGGCAGCCTGAGCTCAGACTCAGAGATTGAGCAGTTGGGGGATTTGTGAGCACAGAGACCATTTTTCTCTCCTTCTACCGCCTCTCCAGCGCCCTCAGCAAATAAACTGAGATGGGGCGGCACTGTTCACTGCTGTCTCATAATCTGAGCTCATTCTTGAAAATAGAGCTTTAGCAGGTGACCTCAGTCCCCGTGTGTGGAGAGACAATCTCTCTTGGCCCCCACACGGTTTCATCTAGGGGCCAGATGAGCAGGTTGCTGAAAGCAGACGTTTCCGGTTTGTAAGGGGTGGAGGACGAAGATTGCTGTTCTTAGCCAACGGGAATTCTAGAAAATTGAGAGTGGGTGGGGATAATTTTGGTGATTAGTCCAGTGAAAGTATCAAGATTTGCCCACCATTCTCAATGTGTGCCTCAGGAAACTCCTACTTCAGCCCATTAAAATAAAGACTCCATGGGAATGACAAAATATAAAGGGTTATTCATACCTCAGCGGGGACACGTTTTTCAGTGGCTTTTTGAATTAGGTTTCTCTGTGGAGACCTGAAAGAGAGCTCATGAGGTCTGCAGACCCTTTTGAGTAGGAACAGAGCCCAAAAAGAGGGAAAGAAACACCAAGAATGGGCGGGTGCTAGATTCGGAACTTGGAAGCTTCTTGGCTCTGCGCCAGCATCTTTCCTAGGATCATGCTGAAGCCCCCTATTTTCATGAGATCTCTGAGGACCAGAAATTCACCGTTCTCCCTTCTAGTAAGCTAGTATCTTGTCTAATCCAGGAATAGGCCCAGGCAGGCCAAGGCTATGCCACAACAACTTCTCCGTTGAGACTCACCTCTGCCCTCTCAGCTAGTACAACAATGTCACTGTGGTAGAGCCCCCAATGGCAAGCATGGGGAGAGCTGTACCCAGGAGTGTGCTCACAGGCTACCCCTTGAGTGATACTAGGTTGAGGTACCTTGAAGCCAGAGAGCTTTTGTCCCAGTCACCACCTCTGTCCACTGCAGCTCCACAAAGCAGGATGGTAGGGGAAGCTCCTTGCTCCCCATGTCTCCAAATTGAACTGGGTCGGGGCTGTGCCTTGACTCTATTAATAGCCCCCTAACCCAGCCTGCTAGCCCCAAACCCAGATGCCAGAAGCTGTGAGTCAGTAGCTAAAAATAACAAGCAATTGCACTCAAAACCCAATGAGCAGCTCCGCCTGGCCTTCGGCCCTCAAATTTTGGTCAGTCTTAGTCTCCAGTTCCCGGTCTCACAGAGGTCCAGTGCCTACAGCTGTCTGGTCCTCTTAGGAAGAAGAGTTTGCAGAGGCTCAGAACTCAGCATGTGAAGTTAGGAGCTAGGAGCACGGTCTGAGTTGGTGCTGGCCCTCTGGGAATCTGGACACTGAGGTTAGAGGACTTCAGCCCAGAGCTGGGGAGTTGTGAGGTTAGAGCTGTGAGGCTGGGGGTTGATGGTATGGAGTCAGGAGGGAAGGGGGGGAGGGAAGGGAAGGGGAAGGAAGGGGAGGGGAGGGGAGGGAAAGGAGAAGGAAAGGGAAGGGAAAGGAAGGTGGGGGGGAGAAGAAGCTGCGGGGCTGAGAGTCTGGGAAACTAACTGACAAGGGCAGAAAAAAGTGTATGAGTTGGGAAGCAAGTACCTGCCCAAGGGTGACAACGTGCAGTACTCGGTGGCCGGCTAGACAGAGGAGCAGGATCGGGAGGAAGGAAAGATAAGGGAATGTGGTTTGAAACATTGTAATCTGCTGAGTTTAAGGCAACATGGAGTCTGCACTGCTGTCCCCACAACCAATCCAGCCACGCCTGCCTGGGCCAGGTGTGTCGGCGTGGAGGCCTATGAGAGTGAGGGGGGCGGCGAGGAAAGAAAGAAAGAAAGAGTGTGTGTGTGTGTGTGTGTGTGTGTGTGTGTGTGTGTGTGTGTGTGTGTGTGCCATGCGCCCTACCGCAAATTCAAACTCGCCTCCATCCACGGGAGACAGTGAGTGCCCAGAGGCATACTGGGAATTGTAGTTCCCATGGCTACTGGTAACCAAGGTGTGGAGGACAGGGATGGTGGGGTCTTGGCCCGAGATGCTAGTGCTGCTCCAGGTCCTGATCTGGCAGTAGAGAAGGAATCGAGGACCTTTTCCTGCCCAGACCAAATTCTTAATTTGAGTGGCCTTTGAGTAGAGACACAAACCAGGACGAATGGCAGTGTAATGGAGGATGGCAGGGCCAGCCTGACAGAGCCCCTACTTGTCCTAGTTTTTGTCGGAGCTTTCCAATTCTTTTTTATCTGACTCACCATCGCCAGGGCAACTCTACACTCAGCTTCTAGCCTTACAAGCAGCAACATATTGAGGAATTTGCTCCTCAAGGGGAAGGCTAGCTAGAACCAGACCCTGTGCACATCCCAGAAAAGAAGAAAGAAAAAAGAAAAGTGGAAATCAGATCTTGCCCTCAAAGTCTGAAGTCAAGGACACAAGTCCCCAAACACGCAGGAAAACTGGTGGTATTCAGCAAGTACGTCACAGTGGCGAGGGATCCAGCCCTCTCGGGGCCAGTGACCACAAGGTGGAGCTACAATGCAACCCTGCACAAAGCTTCTGGGCCACCCTGGACAGAGGCCACAGCCGCTCTCTTCAGCCCGTTGGGGAGGTATCAGTCCTTTCCACTCCCGCCCGCAAATCTCCCCATGATGATGACCTCTCAATGTCATTTTACATTCAGTTCCAGATGGAATGCACATCCTTCCAGCCCCAGCACTGAAATGATTAGACTGTGACCAAATGACAATTAAAAATTCATTGAATACCAGATTAACAGGCAAGATACAGGAACCATTCATTGCTCACAACAAAAAGCCACCGTAGGCACAGAATTGTGTTGCTAAATGAGCTTTTTAGCTCCCAACCTGTAGGCAGGAAAGAAGCTAAATTGAGAGGGTGAGGAGAGAAAGGGCATAGAGTGGGGACTGTCTTCATCATCTTAAAGTACTCCAGGAAAGGCCATTTTGCCAAATTTCCTCCAGTCATCATTCTGAGCTATCCCACCCTGACACACCCTGCGTCTTCTACCCAAGTACATGTGCACACAGGCCCACGGCATTATCTTGGCAATCTCGCTCACTTCCTTGTTTTAATTTCATTTTGGGAGTAACTTCTTGTCACTCACTGTCTTTCCAACTAATTTTTGTCAAAATATCAAAGGCAGCAAATTCCATGGCAGCTCGAGACAGGCCCACCATCTGGACAGAGGGCCCTCAGTTCAAAAGCCATGCTCCCCTCCTGCAAACATTTTCTGCCGGGACATTCCACTTCAGCTCCTTTCCTTCCCCTTGGCCAGTGCACACGGGCATTAGACTGCAGATGATGGGGGCATGAGTTCGGTATTCACTCCGCCATGACGTTGTTGATCTTGGTTAGCAGCACGGCTGTTTCTAAGCCTAGGGAAGTGGAGAAGAGGTGCGTCATGCAGGGAGTGAAGCAAGGGGGAATTAGGAGGAGAAAATGAGAAGGGAAGGGGCATTCTTACCAGCTCTGTTTCTCTTAGCACATCTCCTATGGAGAGAAAGTCTTTCTATTGCGAGTTCCACCAACTTGCAGCAAGACGACCTTACAACCCAGGGAGTCTCCAAACTGCTTTCCCCAGAGTCAAGACAATTTATTGGTATAAGGAAAGCTTAAAAATCAATCGGACTGGACCAAATCCCAATCCCAGGCAGCATATGTGAGTCAGAATCGGCCTTATTACCTGGGGCCTTGGGAAAGTAACGACCCAGGGGACCACGGCAAAACCACTCACCCTAGGAGGAGGAAGATACACGAAAGCAGTAGAATGGAGGCACAGTTGGTGATGATCCATATCATTAAGTAAGTTTGAGGGTGCTATGGGAATAGAAAAGGTCCATCAGTGGCCAGAGCCCCCAAGAGTGGCATATGGGGGTAAATCAGTGTGGAAGAGGACAGGTTTAAGGAGAACCAGAGATGGGAAATGAACAGTGACAGTTCTAGAGCCCTTACAAGAAGCCAGAGGGGGTAACGCATGTGCTGCAGCAGCTGGCAGTCGTTGGTGGTGACTGAATCTACCCCTGCACACCAGAGCAGGGAAAAGAGCCAGGGCTTGTTCACTACGAATAGGTTCACGGAGACATTGCTGTGGTGCAGTGCCCTGAGGAAATGGGAAAGAAATGAGGAACATCCAGAATCTGCCCAGCTCATGCCAGAATCTCTGCCCTGGATCCATCCTCTTATACAGATCTCTGTGATGTAGAGTAATCACGAACATCTTTCTCACGTCCTCCAGAGCCCTATCCAGTTTGGTCCCTGTCTACCTCTCCAGCTTCCTCTTCCCCTTTCTTGCTCTTTATTCTCTCTGTGCTTCTTCTGGTTTCCCCATGGTTAGCTCCTTACAGTCATCTGGCACTCAGCTGGAGCATCACCTTTTCAGTGCTTCCTAATGTGGCTTTCCTGGCTCCTTACCCCAAACCCCAGTCACTACTGCACCATGGGTTATTAATAACACTACCCAACATAAATGTATTTTAGGTGATTTCTTGTCTACATCTTTTGCTAGTTCCTAAGTTCCATGAAAGCCAGGAGCTTTCCCATCTTATTCACATGTCTTTCTTTAAGCCTACAATAAATGCTGCATGATATATGGCAATCATCCCCTAGGCATCCATTGTGGGAATGAATGAATAGCTTTTGCACCCCCTGCATTGGTTCTTTCCTGACAGTCAACCTCGGGGTTCCTCTCCTCTGGCACTCACTTGATATCCAACACCGGAAGGTCTTGATAGGGTAGGTTGAGAAACTGGAGCGTCTCTGTCCCGTTGTCATCCTGATGGCCATATATCTGGCGCATTCTGGGAGCCCGATGCTGCACATAAGCACGATCTTCATCCGGCAGCCAAAGAACCTGTGGTTCAGGGAAGATGAGTCTGCAACTGAGGAAGTTCTCGGGATTCCAGGGACAGGCACAGAGATGTTTGGCCACAGAATGGAGTATGTGATCTGGGGTAGGAGGGTGAGGGCAGGAGCCAGCCTTGAAATCATCATGGCCTAAGGAAGGTAGGTTGGGAATGGGGGCGAAAGGGGGACTTTGGGAGCCCCGGACAACATCACCATGGCTTGGGGCACGCCTGCATTCAACACAGCCTCCAGCGTCTGATTCACAAAAGTCTCATAGTATGTGTGGTTTCTTGGGGGTCGGCGCAAGTCAAACATGATGGAGAGGTTGAGGGCTGCTGCTGCTTTCAGTAGTTCCTCTAATGCTGGTACTGTCTGATTCTCAGCCTCCCGCCGGTCAGAGCCTGACAGCTCTTTGGCCCCCCAGAACGGCTGTCTCTATAAGAGAGGGAAATGATTTCAACACCACAAGAAGCCTCCAGCTTTTCTCCCAGTACTTGCTATTTGTTTGTTTGTTTGTTGATTCATTTAGTCATTTTTGAGACAGGGTCTCACTATGCAGTCCCGGTTGGCCTGGAATTTGTTATGTAGCTATATAAAGCATGCTGGCTTTGAACTCACAGTGAGCTGCCTCTACTTCTCAAGTTCTGGCACTAAAGACATGAGCCACCATACCCAGCTAGCTGCTCTCAGTCTTACCAAGTGGGCCCTGATTCTGCCCACCTCTAGCCAAGGTCTTTCTTTCTCCAAAGTGTTGCTTTCTTCCATCTAATCTTACCCTACGGCCACAGCCTCCTACCCCTCCAGTATGTAATTTCTTTTCTCCTACTACATCATCTCTTCAGTCTCATAGAGACCCTGGTGACCTTGAGCCTTTGCTTTCCTCCTGGTCCTTTGGTTCCTTTCTTGTTGCAGCTACATCCCCATCTATATAGTCCAGCCTCAGCTTGAATTACTTTCCACAGCGCTCTCAAGAGACTCGTTTCCACCTTTCGTACACCCTCTAAACTCTGGTTCCGTTTTACAGCAGTCTGCCTCCTCCACCTTTAGGACTGGGGGCTGCACACTGTCTCAGGCAGCCCCCAGCATGGCGACTCTTAGTGTTGTATTTCCTGGTTTTGCTCACTATGGCTTGACAAACCTTTCCCTTGCTCTTGATAGGCCTATTCTCCCATTCCTCCCTGGGGTTGTTCCAAGCCTTTGCCATTCTGCCTGCCTTCCCTTATTATCAACGAATGGCCTCCAGTCCTGACATAGATAAATCTGGATGACAGTGAGTGTCTGCTATGTGCAGGGGACTTTCTGAACTGACAATCTGTCTGAGAGCCCTAGAAGGGAAGTACCACAGTTATTCCTGCGGTACAAATAGGAAACTGAGACACAGATTGGCTAGGGATCATTGGCCAGAGTCACCATTGCTATTGAGTGCCAGAGTCAAAGTTCAAATATAGACATTCTTGGTTCTTAATTACTCTAATATGCCATCAGATATAGACTTAAACTTATAAGAGAAAAAGAAAGCTGCAAGTCTGTGTTGTGATCTTATCTTTTTGAAAAAACATATGTACACACAGTGAATATCAGTGAATATTTTAGATGGTTGGATTATGGGAGATTCCAATTCATAAATTATTTTTCTGATATTTTTTACAATGAACAAATATTACTTTTGCAATCAGGAAAAGAGGTACTGTAAAATTGAAGTATCCTTTTAAACACTTTTCACTGCCTAGAGGATCAAAGTCAACACTTCAATGTCCAACCTTCAAAATTCCTTAAGCTCAAGCCCTGCCTCCCACCACTCCCATGAATTGAATCTACCAGTTCCATTGAGCTACTTTTTGTTTTCTAGAAACCTACTTGTATTTCTGGCCCTTACCCATGCTCTTCCTTCAAACTAGAACTCCACGTCCCAAGCAAGGCTTTGATGTGTATATCAGTGGTGAGGTGTTTGCCTAGTCAAGGCCCTGGGGCCCATCCTAGCACTGCAGAACTAGTTTCCCATTCTTGCTTTGCGACACAGTGCAGCTCACTCCCGTCAGCCCAGGAGAAGTATTTTTATTGCTCTATTTCCGATTCCAATTGTCTTTTGTTCAGGCTCTCCTTCTTATTATGTGGGAGTGACGTGAGGGCAGAGACTGTTCTTACTGACCAGCACAGGGTGCAGCAAGTCCATATTGCTGGAATGAACTCTGCCCTGAGTGCCACCGAGGTGGTGGCCTCTTCTTAGCCAGAGCCCTCACCTCTAGGAACCAGGCTCCAGCATTGAGTCTCTGCAGTTCAGCCCAGGAAAAGTCACTGCTGTGAGCTGACATTCGCTCTGGAAACACAGAGGCTACATCGGTAGTCCTGCTCAGCCGCTCATCATGCATGAGAAAGGGGACTCCGTCAGAGCTGAGGGTACAATGAGTGTCAGGGGATCAAGCTCTGGGGCTACCATCTTTTTCTGAATGCCTCCACTGTGTCCCTCAGCCTGCCAACCCCCTGGGCCCCACCCTCCATCACCTGACCATCACATCTGTCTCAAACACAGCAGCTCCACATTCAGCTGTCTTCCGCAGGGACATCAGGGTATTCTCCGGGGCCAGCTGGGAAAGGGAGTTGGTGAGGATGTAGCAGGGAAGGGTGGGGGGCCTGGGAACCCACAGGCCTGGTGGCTGAAGCCTAGATGAGCAGATTCTCCCTTACTCGCCCAGGTTTCTGCCTGTCACTCACCATGGGGGCCCCTCGGTGTCCCACCAGCCCAGGCTTGGGGGGTAAGTCTCTGAGTTCCATGATGCAGGGGGAGGAGATGAATATGGGGGCCAAGTAGATGACCAGGGTGACTCCAAAAAATACGCACAGTAGTAGAACCTTGGGGCCTGTAGAAAGTGGAGGACAGGCTTTGGGGCAAGGCCACAAGAGAGGTGGAGCTCTAGGGGCAGAGAGCAGAGCTCAGGTACAAGAAACTGAATGAGCAGTGGGAGGAGACACTGGTGACCAGTGAGGGTGAGTATGGGCTGATGTTGGCACCTCTTGGGTGGATACGGTAGAAGGTATCAGCCACAGGCCAGGCCAGGAAGGTGATTCCAGCAACTGCTCCGATGTGAAGGAACGGGGCTGTTGCCTGTGGATAACAGCTGATGAGGAAGGTTCTTCTTCCTATTGTCTCCCTCCCCGCTTAGGGATGAACTTTTGGAGTTCAGAGAGACCTGCAGTCTCATAGGACCAGGGGCAATGTCATGTTCCAGAACTGGCCACGGGCCAAGGCATCCACCTAGACAGTGGAGATCAGCCACTCACCTGCAGTGACAGTCGTAAACTATACCACTCCTGCCGCCATTGGATATCCAGTCCCACCAGGCCAGTGGCCACCAGAAGCATAATGAGGAGCAGTAGCACCTGGGACAAGGGAGGAACGAATGAGCCTTCCTTGTGAGCCAAGGCTCATGGTTACTGGTGCTACCTCCTCATTCTGTTGCCACAGGATTCTTCCCCTTCCTGAACACATCCACTATCCTTCCACTCAGTATGTGCTGGGTTTCAGGTCCTGGCCTGGAATCCAGGGATAGAAAAGTGAACTCCTCAAGCAAATGGCCATCATAGTGTTGGACCCGGCATCCCTTCTCCCTCGTTTCCACTTCATTGTACCTTGTGGAGACTGTGAAGATGCAGAGGATGTCCACAGAGCTGCAGGAGCAGGCCCAGGAGCTGGGAACAGAGGGTAGGGGCACTTAGGAGGCTCCAGGAGAAGGCAAGTTTGTTGAGTGGGGATTTGTAGGCTGGCATCTCCTTCCCACCCAAGAATTATCGTCCCCCCCTCAGTGGCTAGAATGAGAACCAGACGGTAGACCTGAGCAGGAATGAAGGGCTTATGTGGGAGTTAGGCCAGATATCCCTGGACCAACCAATAGCAAGGATGCATATGTGACCAGTAGAGAGGTGACCAGCAGGAGTACCAGGGACCAGTCCATCCAGTGACCCCAGTGGCGGAACAGGAATCTGTAGGAGCGTAAAGGAAGGTGTTCAAAGGGAGGAGGTGACCTGAAGAGAGTTGAGAGTTGAGGTGGCTAGATCCAGGAAGATAACTAGATGGGAGGGGAAATGCTTCCTTCATAGGGCCAAGGTCTCCAGGGACTGGGAAGGTCTCTTGGAATTTTCTAAGGTGGTTAGGAATGCTGGGAATCAGGGGCCATGTAGAGCTGGAGATGACCGATAAGGGAGGCTGAGCACGGGGTAGGAAGTAGGTTGGCTGGTATGCGGAGGAAGGGGTGGGTGGTACATGACATACTCGTTGAAGTTGTGTAGATCATTGAGAAGGATGAGCCCGATGTACAGCCAGCCCAGGGACAGGAGGAAGGTGAGGAAGAGCAGGCCAAACCAGACGCAGTCACACTGCGAAGGAGCAGGAGAGAAGCTCTCAGCCGATCCCCATTTCATGCTCAGAGGCACGGCAGCTCAGCTTCCTGCCCTGCACTGAGCTGCTCTTCTTGTATTTGAGGGAGCGAAAACCCCTTCCTCCCAGCTGCCTATGAATACAGTCCCCGCATTCCCTCCAAGCAGCCTTTTTTTTGTTTTCTAACTTGAGGCCCGCCCCCCATCCCTACTCCACCTTGCTGGTTTGCCTCCTCTGTTTAGGATATTTCCTCCAGTGGCAGCTATACAGGCACTGGAGGCGGCGGGTCCAGATGGAGCAGCAGCCGGGTGACTCAGTCATGGCGAAGACCTGGGGGAAGGCCATCAGGGAAATCTGATAGAGGACAGATCTCAGCCTCCCTTCCCGTGTACCTGAGGAGCCTGGGGCAGGTAGGGAGAAGCCTGGACTTAGCAAGAGGGTTAGTTATCACAGGCCAGACCCAGAGCTCTGGATTTGATAAGGTGACTGGCCCCAAGCCTGGAAAAGAGGGACCGTTTCTGGATTCTTCCATTGCCCCTGGTTTTTGATACCTGGGAAGGAAGTTGCCCAACCTTTTTGCAGGCATACTGTGTACCTAGTCTCTCTAGTTCCTTCCTATTTAATGATATCCAGATCTGGGGGTGGAGTGCTTGCCCAGAGTAACTTAGGAGAAATTGCCCCCAGGGTGGGGCAAATTCAGTTCAGCAAGTTAAGGCAGACTTGACTGAGCTTGAGGCAGCCCAATCGCTGCTGTCTTCCAACCCAGGAAGCAGGAGTAACCTGAAGCAGAGGTTCCAGTTCTGACCCCAGGCTAAGGGAGGCACAGCAAGTGGACTAGTTGCTATGGATACGGAGATTGTACAAACCACAAAGCCCTGACTAAAAGATTCTCTGTGTCCACTTCCCAGGGGTTGGGGGCACTGCTAAGAAGAGTGGAGGGGAGCTGGTTGCCTGGATCCCTCACCCCCAGGCTTCTAAAGGAGCCCCTTTCCTGTCTGGACAGTCCAGAAAATCCAAGTCCCCCTACACTAGCCTTGTCCTTTCCTGCGCAGTTGTCATGAACAATCACCCTCCACCCCAAATAGAAACCCAGCTCTCACCTTCCCCCTCCCAGGGGCCCCACCCTCGGAGTTATCCTTAATGAAAGTACAATACACACACAGGGCAAAGGTGCATGCGTGTGTGCCTGCATGTGCGTGTGTGTAGGGTGGTGGTGGTGGTGGTGGCGGCGGCGGCAGGGGACTTGTCTTGGAGCAGGGTATTCCTGTACCTTGTGCTTCTGAGTATGGCTGAGACCAAGCTGATCCACACACTGGGCTGGACATGTGCCTGTGCTTCTACATGAGTAGGTGGACGGTTTGAAGCAGGTGAGAAGTCTACTACTGAACCTCCGATGTAAGCAGGTTGATTGTGTGTGATTTGTCACCCTATGGACATGTGTGGACACTAGTGGACTAGGGGCTGCCAGCACAAATGGGTCTCAAAATGACTGAAAATGTGAAGGAGCCCCTGGATAATCAATCTCTCTGTCTCTTTCTCTCTCCCATAACTGTTCTGTACAAAGGGACTGGGCCCCCTTGTTCACGCTGTAGCGTCTTCAGGGGTGCACAGTGGCAGGGCTCCTGCAAGGAGGAAAGGGGTGTGTGTTCTTGAAACTGCCCCCTCACTCAAAGTTCCCCTTGGGAAAGGAGGGTCTGTCTAGGGGGTGGAGGGGTGGGGCCTGGGGAAGGAGGAAATCTTTACCTTGTGTGTCCCTTTTCAGACTGTAGTCAACCCAAAGCGAAGCCCCTGCTTCTTCCCATCTCGGAACTGGGCTGCCGTACGTAGCCTGTCCTGAGCACCATTATATACCCCTGCACCCCAGACTTCCAGAGTCCTACCTCCCTCCAGAGCTGCCTGGAAGATGGGGCCAAGATCTGGCCAGTCTGAAAGACCCAGAGCAAGGAATTTGAGAGGGGTGCTGCCTGACCCCCTGGACTCCATCCCTGCCGGGTTGAGCAGGCCCTCACTTCCCGGCTCCCACCGGTCGCCACACCCAGCCTTCCCCGAGCCCTTCACACCTTGTACTCAGGGGGTGCGCAGCTCTGCTTCCCAGCTCCTCTCCGAGTAGTCTGCCTCCTCCCTCTGGCAGTCCCTGGCTCAGCCTCACTGATCAAACAGGTGTCACTGTTGCCACCTACAGGAAGAAGTGTGGGTCCTCTCGGAAGGCCTGAAGAAGCTCTATGGCCGGAGCCCAGCCGAAGATGGGTGCGAGTGAGCGGGAAAGGAGGTCGGTTCTTTCCTCGCTGGAGCTGGCGGCCAGGGGGCTTGGTGTGAGGAATTCCTTTGTGCAGCCTTTCCCATTCCTCTGTCCCTCCTCCTGTTTCCCTCCCAGTCACTGCCAGAGGGCTTTGTCCTGGTTCTAGGAGGCGAGGGCTGAGGGCATAGCATAGGCGGGAGGGGAGCTGGGGGAGGTGACCACGCAACTTTGCAACTTGGCAGTGAGGAGAAGGGGCCCTGCCAGTCCCCTGGAAACTCCTGAGCATATGAGGAAGTCTCAAGCTTCCTAGGAGTACAACTGCCAATCATTAGCTTCCCTTTTCCTCTTGGGCTATTTGCACTTCTGCGAGGTCCAGCTGTGAGATGCTCTTAAAGTGACCTTATGAACTCTGGGCAACAAGTTGCCCTATTTCTGGACTAGGGGGTCCCTGTGGATGTATTCAACAGCCCTCACTCCACTGCACATGAGATGCTCATTCAGGATATCAGTCTTGCTGCCTTGTTTACCTGAACATTGAATCATTTCAAGAATCGCTTCAGGAGTGTATAGTATACTGGGGTACCAGGCTTTTGGAAGATGAACATGTACAAAATAAACAGTTACTCCAGCATCAACAGGAGGTGGCCTAGCAAGTTGTGGTCAGCTTAGCATAAAGCAGAGTTGCCTGTGAGCTTGGAGGGGCTGACAGACAGCTCTTGAATTGTGGCCGATGCAGTGACTTGGGATTTGTGCATTAGCACTCTCGGGGGTGTTGTTGGGAAAGGATGACTTGTGACAGATAAGCTGGCTTCCCCTCCCCCTCCCCCCACTCAGTTTCAACCAGTGAGGGAGACTGGCTCTCTTCTGCCAGGAGCTGGTCCCCTCCCTCTCAGCTTTCCCATTGTATCCACAGGCTCTAGTTGGCAATGACAGAGATTCCCTAATTCTCTCAGAATTAAAATGCAAAGAGAAGCAAGGCTGCTTGCTGGCAGGAAGCCAGGGAGGGCCAGCGGGTCCCCTAGTCCTCCACCGGGAGTCATTCTTGGCCAGTTGCTTTTCAATTTCCTTTGCTTGGGTTGTGTTGGATTCTAGACTCTTGCCTTTCCTGTATGTGGGGATGGTTTGTGGGCTTTTTAGGAGTGGAGGGGGTGACGGTGGGGGCAGACCAGGATTCAATATGCATTGATGAGTCTCAAGGCTTGCAAACTCCCAAAAGGCTTCTTCAAATCTAGCCTGTATGTGGTACTGCAAGGCTGCACCCCCCCCCCCAAGCTTTTAATTGGAGATGAGAAATCTGGTGTATGGTAAAAAGTAAGCCTTATTCCTCCTCTCCCTTTTCAAGGGAGAGAGCAAGGGGCCGGTAGTTTTGTTCCGTAACTGAAGAGCAGCGTGGTGCCACACTCATTAATCAGATTGCAGGGCCTTAGGAAGAGTCATATAGTAAATGTACACTAGGTCCTGTTCCTCACGAATATTATAACTCTATGTAACTACTTCTCTGTACCTCGTTACTATCGTGTGTTAGATCTTCAGTGTTCCCTCAAAGGCCCATATGTTCAAGGTTTGTTCCCTAGCTTGTGGTACCATTTGGAAGGCTGTGGAAACAGTAAGAGGTAGCTTCTTGTGCAGTGTTTTTTAGTATACTTGAGGAGGAGGTATGCTCCTGAAGGGGTTATGGGACGCAGATCTGTCCACTCTATTTTCCATTCTGGCCACGAGCAGCTTTGTGCCATAGTGTATGTCTGTCATGATCTGATATGGGCCACTAACCATGGCCTAGGACCTCCAAAGCTATGAGTTAAAACAAACCCATTCTCGCAGGCATTTGCTATAGTACGGTAAAGCTGACATTCTAGTTTCTTATCTGTAAAGTACAGGCTCCTATCGACCATGGGCATTTTTTTTTTTGGTGAGAAGCAAATACAAATATGGCAGAAACGGGGGGGGGGGTGCTGGGGATGCTCACTAAATGTGGGGACACTGGCTTCACCAGTGTCATTCCCACTTCCTAGAGCAGCATAGCAGCAGAGCAGAGACACCATGTTCTGCACCAGTCTCTAGGAGAGGGGACGAAACTGGGTCAAGGTGTGGTTCAGCAACAGAATGTTTGCCCATGTCAATCCTTATCCCTGTAAACAAAACACCAAACAAACAGAAAACTAGGCAGTCTTCCCTGAAAAAGGAAGTATTTTGGATTTGGGGGGAAATTGTAATAGATCTCCTTAATAGCTCTCCCAAGGTGCTGAGGAAAACATGTTGAAATTTTATTTCTTCTTCTAGCAAAGGATCTTCTCTAAAAAGTAGACGAGCTAAGGTTTATTTATTTTCTTAACATTTAAAAATGTTTCATTCACTTCACTAACATGACAGACAGTTGAAGGTTCTGTTAAAATTCAGAGTTGGAATGGAGCAGGGAAACTCCCAGCCCCGTTCCTGAGGTGCGGTGAGGGAGTTGAGCCAGGTTTCCATCCCGTACAAGGCTCCTCGGTTAAGCTGACATGGGCATGAGAGAGGAACATCTTGGCCTTAGCTCTGCGAGGAGACAACTCAACTGCTCACAAGGAAAGAGCTAGATTGTGCTGGGGCCTGGGGCCTTATGAGTCTTCAGGAAGGTCAGTTGGTTCTCTCCAGGAGATGGCTCAGCACCTTGTGGAGAAGAAAAGTAGTTGTTTGGGGCTGGAGGGCTTAGACTGTAAAGGCCAACATTCAGCAAAGGTCCTCTTCCTCTCAGTGACACTTTCTCCTTTTCTCAATAGCAAGACCTAAAAGCTACACAAGTCATCAGCGCCCTTCCCCTCTGAGCGGCATCCTGAGAATGTGTCCAGGACAGACAGAAGAGGGAGACGATGACCATAAGCTCAGTGGGACTCTTCTTGAATAGGAGAGCAGCCAGAGAAGAAGCTGGTATTGCTGGCTAGAGCTCGCTTCTTCTTCTTCCCTGTGGCCTTATTTTCTTGTGATTCTGAAGGTTTCGGTTCTGGGTGCTCAGAGGAAGGAACAGGAGCAGGCCTCCTCACCAGCACCTGATCTGCATCACACATCTCTTTTAGGATCTAGGAAAGACAGAGACAGAAATGAATAGATGGGCCCAGCTGAGCCACTACAAAGGCTCGACACAGCTCAAGTAATCCTAGGCATCCCTACAAATGGTCTCTATTAGATAAAGCACTCCGGCAGTGTCCAGCAATTAGATTCTATCTTTCCCCACAACTATACCCCACAGGCTGCTATCACAGCTAACGCAGAGAAGGATGCCAGCAGAGTTTTCTCATGTCTTTCACACCTTGCTACTGGGAGTTGTACAGACAGGGTGGAAGAAGCTTAATCCTGAGGTCACCTCTGTGGGATCTTCCAGTTTGAAGGAGCTTTCAGAATCCTGAGTTCGCTCAATAGCATCTAAGTTATCCTGAAATCAAGCAGACAGGCTTATTATAATTTAGCTCTCTGAGTCACAAAACAGGGAGGTCCTAGCTCTGAGGACCTGATCAGCCAATTACTCAAAGCAAACCTAAGGGAGCTACTGTTTGGAGAAGCCATAGGGTTTAACATGTTCTGTCCCCCAAAGGAATGAATTTGTGCTTAGGAGGTAGACTCCCTACAGAGAGAAACCCTGACTCAAACAACAACAACAACAACAACAACAACAAACCCAAAAAACAAAAAACAAAACAACAACAACAAAAAAAAACCACATTCAACTTAAGGCAAATTTTAGGCCGGGCGGTGGTGGCGCACGCCTTTAATCCCAGCACTTGGGAGGCAGAGGCAGGCAGATCTCTGTGAGTTCGAGGCCAGCCTGGTCTACAGAGCAAGATCCAGGACAGCTAGAGCTGTTACACAGAGAAACCTTGTCTCAACAAACAAACAAACAAACAAACAAACAAACAAAAAAACAACAACAAAAAGAGGTAGACTCCAAGGACCCCTATATGTCTCGAATGAGACAAATGATGAAGGAAACTAAAATTCAGCCAAACTGAGTGTGGTGGTATACACCTGTAATCCCAGAATTTGGGAGGCTGTGGCAGAGGGATGACAAATTTGATCCAACTTGGGGTATTTAGCAAGACCTAGTCTCACAGAAAAGAAACAATAAAAGAAATAAGATGAGGCTAAGCTTGGTTATTTCCTTGATTAAAGTTCTTCTACCTCGAACCTGCAATAGCACCCCTAGGAGGCTATCTGCATTAGTATTGACTTCGGATAAGGAAATAAAATCCAAAGGACAGAAGTCACTTAGGCTACAAGGGGACCCTGCATAGGACTGGGTTTAAAACTGGAGCTGTTCATTGTAGAAACAGTTGGATTGAGAACCAGGAAGCCTGAGGATTCATGTTAGTCTCCAGGACCAGCTAACCAGCAAGTTAGCTCAGTTTGCCTCTGGACTTCAGTTTCCTCTTCTGTAAAATGGGAACCTTGGCTCAAATCCGTGCTGCTTTTCTTCAACTGGACTTCTAAGGGTAGGCCCAATATGAAAGCAAGTGAAGAACAAACTGTTTTGATGGAAATAGAATTCTAAGGGTTTTGGGCAGAGACCCTTTCATGCAGCAGCTTCGGGGTTCTAGAACCCTAAATGAAAAATCATGAGAACAGGGAACCCTTACAGGCCTCCATTATGTCTCTGAGTGACCTATACATGGCCTGGCCTATACATAGCTTCCTCCTTTAGTCCTCTGATGCTTACTTAGCTTAGAAGTCTTTGAGATAAAAGGCCCAAGCTCAAACTATTCCTGTGTAAATGTTCAGGAAATGCAGGAGGAAGGTCCGTTACAGTACCCTTGTACGAGTCTTGTACTATGCACCAAGAGCTGTGGCAAAGATTTCTTGCCTTGGGCACACGCAGGTGTAAGGCAAGTAAAGGGGACTGAACCTGCATGCTGCTGCTCTTTTCAGGGCACATTTTGTTTCCTGAGTTTGCTCTTCCCAGGAGCAACATAAAGACAGCTACTCTTAACTTGGTCATAACGGTGACTAGTGGACTCGATTCCTTTGGGTCTTTTCCTAGAGCCATGGCATGCTTGGTTCCCATAGCGTCTACTAACTATTGTCTCAAGATGCCAGAAAGATTAACTTCTTTCTGGAAGCTGTCATCTCAGGGCCTGGCTGTCACAGTTCCAGTTAAGCCTCTGGACTAGTTAGATCCTGTGTCTCCATCTACCTGTAAGTTCTTGCTTTC